CGTGTGTGCGTGTGTGCGCGCGTTTGTGGTTGTGTCTCATGTGTTTGAGTGTGATGTTGTGTTTGTGTGTCTGCGCGTTTGTGTATGAGTGTGTTGATTTGTGTTGTGTGCTTGTATGTGCTTGTATGGTTGTGTGCTTGTGTGATTGTTTATTTGTGTTTATGTGTTTGTGTGTGCTTGCGTGCGTGCATTGCGTGCGTGCGTGTGTGGGTGTGTGGGTGTGTGAGTGTGTGGTGTGTGGTGTGTGGTGTGTGCGTGTGTGTGTGTGTGCGTGTGTGTGTGTGTGTTTCTACGCCCTGTCGCTGCGCGCAGGGCAGCGACGCCATGGAAATGCGTGCATGCGAATGTATATACCGCGGCCACGGTTTCTCAAGCCATCTCTGACCGTGATAGGATGCTCACAGAGACATTCACCTGTCTCGTTTCAGTCGGCAACTTCTGTCTCCTTGCGCATAATTGGTGGAGCCCGCCAGCGCAGCCAGCGCTTGCGTGCGGGTGCACCTGCCACTGTTCGGAAGGCAGCTCCTGGTGGCCGCCAGTGCTCATCGGCATCCTGAGCGTGACCTCGCTCCTTGGCTGGTGCCCGAGGCTGCTGTGGCGGGCGCCGCCGACGAGGGTGCAGGCGATCGACGGGAAGACGCTGCGCGGGCAGATCACAGCCGGTCCGCCTGCTAACGTTGGCTAGCCATGGAGCTGGCGAGGCCGCGTGCGGGGCAACGCTTTTGGGTGCTGTTCGACCGCGCGGAGGGCCTATGGCACGAGCGCCTGTGCCTGTACGAGTACGCGACGGGCGTGATCATCGCCACCCCCGACGGGGACATCTACGCTGAGGAGTTCACGGACTACGAGGACCTGGCCGTCTCGGGGCCCCAGGGCGGCGTGCCCCGCCGACTTTACCCGAGGCGGCGCTACCACTTCGACGCAGGGGACCTGGAGGAGGACAGCCAGCTGCGCGCGGACGCCGGTCGCCAGCTGGCCAGCCTGCTTGAGAGCGGCGAGTACCCAGCGGCGCCGATCCCGCTCCCTGACGCGGAGGACGGCGCGGCTCTGGTGGCAGGCGGGGGCCCGGCTCCGATGGACGGGGGGGGCGGCACTCCTACGCCACGCAGCCCTATGCCGAAGGAGCTCGACGAGGCGCCGCGCGGGACGACCTGGTACTTGCTCACCGACGGGTTCGGCCAGCGGATGCACGAGCAGGTGACGGTCGGCCTGAACGATCGGTGCGTCACCGACGGGCGCTCGGGGCTCCTCATCCGCGATGGGGAGACCGTGCCGGTGTCGGCGCAGCTGCCGCCGCGTGCCGGTGACGACGACGTGAGGACGCTGCCGGTGCAGTACAACCCTCGCGGTGAGAGGACACGCTCGTTCCAGAGCGCGCGGGGTGCCTTCACGGAGGAGACCTTCGACGACTTTCCTGTCCGCGGCCCGCGGACGACAGGCTGGCTGATGGAGGCGTTCCACAAGGGGGGCCAGAGCCCTGTGGCGCGCCACCACTGGTGGCGGCAGATGCTGGGGGCGACGACGGCGGACCCGGGGATTGATAACCACCTCTTCCTCTCGGAGCTTTTCGAGCTCGGCGGACAGTACGACCAGCTGAATCTGCCGAACAGCGCCGCCTTCGAGGCGATCTCCCGTCGCTATCAGCTGTGGGAGGAGCGCTACGCTGAGAAACTGAAGCAGGTGACTGAGGGGCCCGGAGCCGCCGCCGGAGTGGCCGCTGAGAGGCACCTCTTCCTTGGGGTCACGTCGGGCAGCGCAGCTCTGGTCTCGCCCAGCCTGGCCGAGTACGCGGCAGAGAAGATGGAGCAGGAGAGCAAGATCTTGAAGGAGCGCCGCAAGGGTCGCCAGGAGCGCAATCTGGCCGCGCTGGCGCCTTCGGGCCCCGGCAGCGGCGGCGGCGGCGGCGGCGGCGCAGGGGGCGCTGCTGCCATCGAGGGTCAGGACAAAAAGAAGAAGCCGCCCAAGAAGCAGAAGGCCGAGGAGGGCTGATTGCTCGTGGGCATCGTCATCCGGTCGCCTTGCACGTGACGCCCCACCGCGTGCGAGGCAAGTTTTTCGAGGGAGGCCATCGGCAAGGCCATGGCTTTACAGTCACATCGCGATGTGTTCCCCCTTCCCTGCGCTGGTCCGCCGCCTGGCCTGTGCTCCACGGGCCCTTCTGCGCGGTGGCTGCAGGAAGGGATTCGAGCGCTTAACTCGATCGGGGGTCGTGGTCAGACGACGCCTGCGCAGCCGACTACAATTTTGCAGGCTCACGCCTTGTCTCGACTCGCTAGCATGCATGCCGCAATTCCTGAGCAGCCGAGTGATATGACCGCCCAGAGTGCCGTCAAAAGCACCGTGGGAACCGACCCTGGTGATGGTGAGGACCTGACCAGCGGGAGCCACGCACTTTACCAACGAGGCAAGGTCTCATTGCCTCGCGT